GAAGGAAGGAAGGAAGGAAGGAAGGAAGGAAGGAAGGAAGGAAGGAAAGGAGAGTGGAGGTGGGATGGTGAGAACAGGGAAGGGGTGGCAGGAACAGGGAAAGGCAAGAGGATGTTCGAGGCAGAAGAGTCACACACCTCTACTGCTTACAATTCAGTAAGTAACTTAAAGCTTAAAATTTGATTTAACAAATCAAGTAAAAATTGAAACTACAGAAGGGAACAAAGAAAAAAAAGGACCTCATATCTCAGTGACCTGAGAAGGAACAAGCAACATCTGGTCTAGCTCTTCAGGGATTGTACACTGTGCCTGGGTGTGCATTCCCTACGAAGTCGGAATTTACTGTACCTCTCATTTGCTTTTTGGCCTGTTTTGGTAGTGCTGACTGTTGAACCTGGTGTTGAACACATCCTTGTGCATGACAGACAATTCTACCAATAATCTCCATCCTAGTTCTGCAATCTGATTTTCTACCCTTCATAACTATTTACAAACATCTTCTGAACACTAAGGATAGGCATTTCATGGGAGCTGAGCGTGCAAACCCTTAGGCACTATTCATGTGCCTTCTTTTCTCTCTCCTCTCTTATTAAAATAAAACCTGAAACTGTTCTCACTTTTCAAGACCTCTGGGTTTGTGGATATATACATATCTGCTTATGTTGTTATCCAGACACTTTTAGATCAGCTAATAAACTAGAAGGTTCAACCCTTTGGGGCATCCCCCTGGGAGGCAAGGCCCCACAGAGCAGCTTCAAGCCTGCTTGGGTTCTGAGGTTTCTGTTTCCCTCATTTGGAAACTACCCCAGAACCCAATTCTCCTTAATGCTACCTCCTAGCTCTTTTTTTGGGAGTAGAATCTAGGATCCAGGATCTGCCTACCTGGGCCAGTTCTCCCTGTCCCCTGGCACTAATCCCGTAAAGGGCAGGCTCCTGTTGCCTGGAGGGATAAAAGGTCGTGCACAAGGCAAAAAGTGACCTTGCCTAGATAGCAGCACCAAACAATTATTCCTACACCACTCTTTCTGAGTGTTTTCAGAATGAACTGAAAGTGTGCTCCCTCTTGGAATACTGAAGACACTATCTAAATACAGATCTTAAAAGCAAGGCTGTCCAGTAGTCGTAATCCAGTCTCAGTTTTTAGTCAAGAATGTGGGAGTTCAGCTCATTTGGCTAGTTAATGGTGTGTGAGGAGCCCAGAGGCTGAGGTGGAAGGGCTGTCTGAGTCTAGCAGTCAGAATCACCAGCGGTGAGTACCAGAACCAGGGTGAGTCCGCATTCTCCCCTCACAGCGCCAATGAAAGAATCCAGCACAGAGAAAGCCGAGCCTGGAGGCTATACCAGCCTTAGACTCTTGCATTCTCTCCTTTTCTTGCTCTGGCAACACTGTAAGACATTCGGTGGAAGCTGGCATTACCATATGATAACTTGAGGTGTGTAGCCACACCCTAACAAGCCAGCATGAGTGGAAACACTTCAAATCTTTGGTCAAAATGAAGATGGTGGAGCTCAGAGCTGGAAACCAGAGCACAAAAACTGACCCCGGCAGTATAATGTGACTTTCTCCTGGGCGTCAAAAACAGGCAGCAAGAAAGTGTTTGAGCAGCTAGGGTTAGATCAGCCTCTGGGCACACAAGGGGCCTGGTATCTGGATTAGCCTAGCACATGATCGGGGGTTATTTAGATTAGTCTGGCTTCTGAGCACACCTGAGGGATTATCTAGATTAGGTTGGCCTCTGGGCACACCTGAGGGGTTACCTATATTAGCAAGGCCTGTGTGTGTGTGTGTGTGTGTGTGTGTGTGTGTGTGTGTAATATACCTATGCTTTTCCTGTGTGAGCCCTTTAGAAGATCAATGAATGAGAGGGACCAGCCCTTAGTCACAAATCCCACTAGTTACTTTAGTTACCCCCATCATACTGGGGATCTTGTTTCTAGCCCACTGCAGGTTAGGAATAGGAAACAAGGCTGGGTGGACACTTCCGAGTCAAGCAGATTGATCACAATCACACGCTGGCCAGGCAGGGAGGGAAAAGAACAGGACAATGAAAAGCTGAAAAAGGATTCCAAGCCCAGCACCTCAAAAGGCCCTAAGGGCATCTCTGAACTGCCACACAGGACATTAACTGCTGGATATAATGATAGACCTGAAGAAAAGTGATAGTTGGCTCAAGAAAGCAAGAAGGGTATAATCCGTTTTACAAAGAAAACCCATCACTCATTGGGCAAACAAGTGTAATGAGTGCCTGTGCATGGCAGTACCTTCTGCAGATGCAATCGTGAATGAATAGGGCAACTTCTGACTTTACGAATTAACTGTCTGATTCGAGAATTAATCAATCATGTGTTTTCCCAAGTGTGCTGACAAGGCTATGCACACAGGGTGCTCACCACAAAGGGCAGTGCCTTCAAGGAACACAGGAGGCTACTTCAGTACATGTCACAGCCCAGCGAGAGCCCTGCTCCTCTGTGGTCTCACCTCTCACCACTGCCTGCCTAATGCTCGTTCTTATCTTGGAACTTCTGATCCAGCTGGAATCCTACCCATCCTCAACTGTCACTTGGCTGGTCAGTTCCTTTCTAGGTCTCCAACAGAGGGCCACACTCCAGGTGATCCTGCCTGAGCTGAGGTAGGTACTGCTCTGAGGGATCCTCTAGCATCTGCTCCCTCTCCCAGGGACGTCCTACCGGCTGGAGACAGACTGTCACGACTTTCGTCACCATGTACATGCCGGGCTAAAGCCCGAGCACAGCAGACCTGGGCTCGAAACGCTTGACAAGTGCTTGTTGAAGCAGCAAGTAGATAAAAAATGAGTGCCTCTTTTATGAAAATCAAAGATGTAAAATACCCCAAAATCCATTTTTTTTTTATTCCAAACCCTTTCTCAGTGCTGACAACTTTCTGGAAAACAGAGGCAGGAGTGTTACAAACTTGAAGCTATCCTGAAGTACATACGACGACCTTGTATCAATAAAAATTCCTGATTTTAGGGCATTTGGAGTTAGTATTTTTGGATTAGGGGTGTTCAACTAATAAACTTTACACACAAACATTCCAAAATTCAAACAAACTTCTAAATCTGATTTTCTTCTGGTGCCAAGCATTTTGGATTAAATATATTCAACATCTCACACAAATAAGGTCCAGATATTTCTGTTTGTGTAAAACAATAATAATATCTATAAACAAATGTCTAGTGAAGGCAGCACAGAAGGGCTGGTAACTGAGCAAGCTCTGGATCAAGACCACTTGTGTTTGAATCCTGAATTTGCTGTGCAGGTTCACATGGTTTGCTTGACCTCTCTGTGTCAAACTCCTGTCTGTAAATGGAAAGAAAGAACAGGAAGCTCTAGGTGTGATAACACAGCATCTGGTCTCAGTGCCAGCCATGATCCTTTTTATCCAGGCTCTCAGGAAGGCACAGGCGCAGGACACTGCAGGTGGGAGAGCCAAAGCCTGTTCTGCATAGTGTCACCTGGCAGTGTCTGCTTAGTGCTGTGTCATGCTGGTGTTCTCCAGTCGGAACGATCACTCCAGAGCTGGGCGCTGGTGGTGCACGCCTTTAATCCCAGCACTCAGGAGGCAGAGGCTGGCGGATCTGAGCTAGTTCCAGAACAGGCTCCAAAGCTACAGAGAAACCCTGTCTTGAAAAACCAGAAAACAAAACAAAACAAAACCAAAAAAAACCCCCCAAAAACAAACAAACAAATAAAACCCAACAAAACAAAACACACACACACACACACACACACACACACACACACACACACACACA